TTCTTCTTTCCAATTGCTTAAATTGGAAAATTAACTGGGATGATCATTCTTCACTTTCATCTACAACCGCAGTTCATTTATGTATTATTTCATATGAACTTCACATATTTTTTTTGCTGTTTCATTTTTTAGGTTAGATCCGATTTTTCAGAATTGCTATAGTCAACCACATGTATGCCTTTGCTTTCAGTTGACAAGCTAGCTTGTGCTGATTAAGCTAGTTCAAAACAACTGGTAGATCCCGTGGACTTTATTTTCATGGTGTGTATTCAATTCGAGTAGTACCCTGATCCGTGGTGCGAAACACACAGCAGCTACTGTGCCAGTCTTTGTTTTCCTTATTAAATATGCACATATTTGTGAGCCTAGTGACACGTGTAGCATGCTTTGTCTTCTCATGCATGCCTGTGCCATCTCCTTTTCCCTGTTTTCTCAAGGAATGTCACAATTTGTTTATCCAGGTTGGTCATTCAGAGGACAAAGTTTCAGATAGGGAATATCATACTAATTGCACTTAACTGGTTCACATTAACATGTATGAAAGAGAAATTGTTCACTGTATAGTTTAGCTTGTGTTTAATATGTTTTTTTCCCTGAAAAATTTAGCGATCCCAGGAGGAAAGATGGATCGTTAGTCTATCTCAGGCTCGTCATCAGTGTGTTTTATTTTCATTACTTATTCTCCAAGGATGTTTCAGTCAAGAAAGGTGAGCGTACCTGTATTTCATTTCAAGAAAGAAATGAAAAATTTTTGTTCCTTTTTTGGATGTCCTTTTAAATGTTGACTTGTGAATATTTATCTATTTCAGCTATCATTATTTTTTCATCCATTATCATTTAATATTTAAGTGTATATTATTTTACCATTTTAGATAGTGCAGGTCCACATCAGGACTTAATGTCTTGCCAGTTCCCCAACCTGCTTTACCAAGTAAATTATGTATGTATGTATGCATGTATGCATGTATGCATGTATGCGTGTATGCATGTATGTGTGTATGTGTTGCCGAGGAGTACTCATTGAAAATTTGGGTGGGGTAACTGTGTGGCTTGCAGACCAAAATATGCAATTTTCCTCACCCTATGTCAGACCTAAAAGGCCTTATGCATCCCATGGAGCAATGAGGACAGATGATGTCAGACCTAAAGTTTATACCCTATTCCAGACCAGACCTTACCTATGAACTGCTTCTATTCACATGAACATTTTGAGGTGTTTGAATTCCAATGGTTAATAACACTGCACCTCTCAAGAGATGAATAATAACAGTGATAAAGTATAGTTTCCTCTGAAAATTATACCTTATTCCTGAGTGTAGCTGACAAACTATGTCCCATTGCAGACCAAGAAAGTGAATATCATACTCGTTGGGGCCACACATAGCTGTAGCAACAATATTGTAAAATTCCCTTACTGGGGTGTGATCCTTATTTCATGTGATGTACTTTTTAAGAAATTGAAAATGGTGGAGGTTACTATGTAAATCTAATTGGGCTGATGAATTTTCTTTTTCATGAAAGACCTATCCCTCAGAAGTCACCTCTGGTGCATCTTCTTATCAATGAAGAAGGTAACATTCCTTGGTTGTTCCTTGTGGATCTTGTCAAAACAGCAGCAAATGAAGATTTACTTGAACAGGTGAAAAGGAGATGCTGTTAACTTAAGATTCTTTCATCAGCTCTTGTTTTTACACTATTAGGTCCAGAGTAGATGAAAATTAACTCAGAATGAAAATGTCAATCATTGCCTGAATTAACTTTTGAAGATGATCACCTGGTGGGTAATCCATTGCAAATACATCAAACAGTATTTATTTGGATCATAAACATTACGACCTCAACACGGACAAAGACTTGGTGTGTAATTCATAGATTTCAGGTTTTAATCAACACATGCATGATGAGGCACTAGAATTACCGAGGGTCACTGGACACCACTTAGTATCCTAGTGACAGAATGCAGATTCATCAAAACAAGTTGTCCGGCTTTATTGATCGCAAACCTGTTTTGATCACATGAGCTAAATGCACGGTTGACCGAAAAAGTAATGGCACTTCCACAAACAGTGGGCTTCAAAGCCCTGTCGATGAAGGAGGAGTTTAATGTGCTTGCACTGTTTCTCCAATTGCATCCAAACAGGTTTTACTACACAGCTTGCATCTAAAACTCCCAGTGGAATGTGTTGTAAAACACATCACGTGTTACTAGGTAGCAATGCTCATACATACAAATCTCACACATGTAACGTGGAATTCCTCCACACTGGACAGCTCCTAAGTAGAAGATATGTGATATGAGAATTAACATGGTGTAGACATGTACAAGTCAAAGCAGTTTTTACTTGAGAAAGTCTGTGGCAGATTTAGGGGGTTCGGTCCAACACCCTAAATTAGAAAATATGAGACATCATAACATGCTGACTTGGCCTCAGTATGCCTGAAGCCTATTTCCAAGGACCTCAATTTTTAAAATTATCCGGGGAAGGAAGCCCCCTGATCCCCCCACAGGGAACCTCCCTTGGCAGTCAGTATCTCAAACCCCTTCTCTAAAATTCTGCATGCACCCTAGAAAGTAATTTGCATTTGCTTTGGTTTTGGAATATTATGCCAAGTGATTTTCTGAAGTGCTTGTTCTACTTTGCCATCCAATCAGTTGTAAAACTAAAACCAATTTTCCTGCTCTTTGCGTTTATTTGCCTTGGGTTATGATTGGTTGACTACATTGTGAATACTTTGGTTTCGATTTTAAGATACTCAATTGAAACTCCCTCTATAACAGACATAATTATACATGTATATCAGAGTGTCCAGATAATGTTTTCCTTAGGGTTAAAAATGCCAAAATTATTATAGATTTTTTTGCAATTTTTAATGTATTTCATCATTTTAGCTAACTAAATAAATAGTACTTATTTCATACATACAAGCAAAGCTATTAGTTTCTAGATAGAGAATTTGTTGATAAATATAAAAATGTTACATTGGTTTCAAAGAAAAGCTATTATAAATCTTTAAAAACCCAACATTTTGGCTATTAACATAAGCCTTCTTCAGGGGTAATAAAAAACATAATGAAGTGACAAGTATATTTAAGATTGCATAGTTGCTAATTAAAAACCGAATATATTAGGAAATTCGTTCTTATCCAATAGAGTCAAGGCTCTGTAGTCTTGGGGCAGGTACATGCCGTCATTGTGGTTGAGTGGACTTTTTGCACATGTTAATTTCCCAAGCCTCTAAGAGGCATCGGTTTCGCCAACTTGTGCTGGCACGTAATATTGTAGACAATTCCCACGAGATAGCGTGACCAGATTGTGAACAATGTTCAGCAAGTGCGGATTTCTTGGGATGTTTTTGTTCGACCGCTTTTTGGCGTTCTCTGAGCTGAGTATTGGATTTCTGTTTGGTCTCCCTGATGTAGTTTTTGTTGCAATCTTTGCATGGAATGGACTAGATTACACCGTGCGCTTTTTTTTCTTTTTTGATCTTTTGGAACGGGATCTTTCGGCTTTGGAAATAAGTAGAATTGGAGAATCGATGAACAAGACAATAGGCCGAAGAGGGTAACCCAGTTCATGAACTTTCAGCAAACCATAGAAATGAGGTGGTAGTCCATCAGAACTTCAGAGTTTCTTGTACAGACTATCACTGATATTATCCCCTCATTTAAGTTTGGCCACGTTTTCATTAAGCTTTCTTTCTGTCTGTTGTGTGGGATCTTTATCGAGGATCTTGTAGGTTTTGTGGTCATTAAGCATTTTCTGTACCATTTTGTTGTAGTCCTTGCAATCCATGACAACAATACAATTTCCCTTATCTGTTGAGATAATGAGTCAATCTTCATCTTTGCACAGATCGTAGAAAACTCTGAGCTTGTCTTGGGGTAGGTTTGAAGGTGGGACAGTGGCTCTGTGCAAAACTTGCAAAATTTGGGAACTTAAAACAAGTTTATCCTCTTCTGGTAATGTAGGAATACCATCTTCAACACCAGCTACGATTTCCACTGTTGGTATTTTTCTGGGAGCCAAAGCAAAATTTGTGCCTCTCTGGAGCACAGACATTTTAGCATTACTCAGTGGTTTACTGGAAATGTTCAGCGCCCATTTATCGCAGCTGATTGTGTCATTTGGGAATGACTTATTTGACTTTGAGGTAGGGGCATGAAGTTTCTTCAAATAGACAGCTTTAACCTTGTAATCCTCCTCATATTGTTGTTCTTGACCCAGAGTCTGAAGGTGGTCAAGGTCACTTCATTACATTTTTTATGTCTTCTTCGCTTGTTTCCAAAATTATAACTATGAAGCTGTACCTATGTCAATTTTGTAGGTCAACAGTCGAGCTTTGTTTGCTAGAGTGCTGCAAGAAATCAAAACCAGACAAGACATTGTTGGGTTAAATTTTGGCCACGCAGAATGGCCAATTTATTGATTAAAACTAATACATTATGAACGAATTATTATTTGATAAGCTCTTGCAAAGGTGAGGTCATGAGAAAAAAGGCGAAGTGCCTATATCACAAATACATAATATAAATGAGGTGGAGGAAGGGAGCAGGAGGGTCGAACTCACTGAGTGTGTCTGGTCTGGAGACAAAGAGGACAACTTGAGAAACATGTCACGTCTTATACTGATCGCTGAAAGTGAGTCTAGGTTATTTTCCATGAAACTCGTGACTACCAGGGAATTTGCTATTGTTATTGAAGTCATAAGATTGTCCTGTGATGGTCTTGTGATTATTGCTTAATCAAGTTTGTACTTTACTGAGCTAACCGCTGACCGGTTAGCTCAGTTGGTAGAGCGTTGGACTACCGTGCGGGAGGTCTCAGGTTTGAGCCCCAGACCGGACCAACACTCAGGGTTTTAAAATAACTGAGGAGAATATGCTGCCTTTGCAATGACATCTGCAAATGGTTAGATATTCTAGTCTTCTCGGATAAGGACGATAAACTGTAGGCCCCGNNNAAGCATAATTTGCATGTCTTGGAATAACTTGGAATTCCTAAGAATTCCTAGGAATTCCTAGGAATTCCCAGACTACTGGGAATTTATTTCGCAGGGGTCTATGCCCAATTCTACTTTCATTTCCAGAAAATCAACCAACATGCATGTAATAGGGATGTTTTTGTCCGCAAACTAAATTTTATGTTGAAAATAAAAGGCTTTGCTTAGTTCAATTTGTCCTCTATTTCTTGCAATCCAAAAAAAAAACCTCGCAAAATTTTCGTCTTAGCAATTAGGTAAATTGAATAGAATATATCCTGTAGAAACCAGCTGTAATTATATAGTATTATTAGCACAGTAGTTACCCGTAAGTGTTGTATGTAGCGTAATGTTTATGTCGAAAAAAAAGTAGTAAGTAGTTTATTATAATTAACACATTATAGATAAATTTATTTTAAGTATTGTATTGCAAGTAGTTTAATGGTAACTATGTATTGTATGTGAGCCTTTTCAAAATAAAAGGTCCAACTATGGAAAAAAAGACAGCTTTAACCTTGCAATCCTCTTCATATTGTTGTTCTTGACCCAGAGTCTCAAGGTGTTCAAGGTCACTTCATTACATTTTTTAATGTCTTCTTCCCTTGTTTCCAAAATTATAACTATAAAGCTGTACCTATGTCAATTTTTTAGGTCAACAGTCGAGCTTTGTTTGCTAGAGTGCTGTAAGAAATCAAAACCAGACAAGACGTTGTTGTGATAAATTTTGGCCACGCAGAATGGCCAATTTATTGATTAAAACTAACATGAAATACATTATGAACGAATTATTAAGCTCTTGCAAAGGTGAAAGGCCACAAGCCTCCAGAATGGAGGCCTGCCCCACCCAAAGACTGTTGACCCAAAGAGACCAGTGCTTAAGTGTTGAACTTATGAATGGCCACAGCACCTGCGTGTGGTCCAGAATTAGAAATAGCCTAGGTGGGTTGAAAGACTGGGTACACCAATATACTTTAAAATTGCATTAGATTTCCATTAGCCCGACTGGTGAATCTGAGTCTGAAAAACCTTTGGCAATGGCCCAAGTCGCTGCGCCTATTCGGCAACTGTGATTTGTACAAAGCAGGATCAAGATTAAGTTGTTCCACAAAAAAGGATCTAGTAATGGGTGCCCCATCCGACCAGTGAAAAAAGAGGACCATTGAATGATTCTCGTGTGGAAACAAAATCTAGTATGGCTTGGACCGGACAGCAAAAGCCTTCTTTATAGATATAAATTGTAAAGGGGCGCCCGTTATTACTATGTATGTATTTCAGAAATGCTTTCATTTGCTGGAAAATAAAATTTATTTATTACCCCTGAAGAAGGCTTATGTTAATAGCCGAAACGTTGGGTTTTTAAAGATTTGTAGTACACCTGTAGCTTTTTTCAACCATTGTAACCTTTTTATATTTATCATAGAACCACCTAATTACAAATCAGTTTTAATTTAAAAGAGAATTTGTTGTTGTGCTCATTGGGAAATCTAAGTGAAGGCCTTATAGGTCACCTTCAACTATGAATTGATAAATGTAACTTAACCACTGGATCACAGTAAATTGGAAATGGAGAGGTTATGTTTCAGAATTGGACTCCGCTTCAATGAAGGGCTGATGCTTGAAATACCAGTTTTCCAAAAGTCTCTACCTGCAGTAAATATTACCTAGTGTGGTTTTTGCTAGTTTCTCTTTTAAACCATTGTTGCTACCTATCCAAATGCAGTCTCTAGTCTGTTGAGAGAGCTTTATTGAAACAAAGAAAACTGGAAAGGTGTTGACAGAAATCTGAACTAAAAGCTAAGGCATCAAGGTACCTTGTGCCAATGAACCAACAATCAATCTTGTAAATTGAGTGACTCTTTGCCCTGTATTCCTTCTTTTAATTTGTTGTTTCCTTTTACTTTTCTCTCTACTTGCTTTTTAATGGATGTTTTGTTTAACATTTACTAGAAAAAACAACAGTTAATATAATTAAAAATTAATCATGAAATTTGAGGTTTGATAATTCTGTCCAATAGTTCATCACAAGGTGAACATCAGTACTCGGTTTCCCATGTTAGTAACAAAGCTTTAGACATTTTATCCCATTTACTCCTCTGCCGTCGGTAACTGGTGAGATGAGCATTGACCTTTGTTCCACTTCTGACATGATTACCCTTGACCATATTAGGCATCACTTATTCTCAAGTACCACAGGAGGGAAATGTCTTTCTGTAGCTATCCAAATCAGGGTGATTGAGTCAAAGGAGGTTGAAATATGCTTCAAAATGCTTAGAAATTTGAGTGAAAAATGGAGGAAAGGTTTGCTCAACAACACTGGGCTGCTCTGTGTTAAGAATGTCCAGTCTCCATAATACTTGCTCAGGAATTCTCAACCTGAAAGCAAGTCCACCAGGAGGCCAACAACTGCAGCAAAAAGATAAGAAAAAGAGAAAAGCCAAAAGTCACAAAAACCTCAAAAGCTTAAAGAGATAGGTCACTCAATTTTGATTTGTGCACTTGCTAAGTAAAAATGTCAATACATATAATGCTAGCTGGAAAGAACTTGGCAATATTTTCATGTTGCAAATGCTGTTTTGAGTATACGTAGTTTGAACATAATTTAGCTCATAACTAACCAGAAAATGCCAAAACTGTCTAAAAATGCAATTTTGTCAAAAAGCTCCAGATGTCAGTGGGTTAATTAATAAATTATTGTAAATTTGTAGGTTTTCAAGCCAGTCCTGGTGGGTCTGAGTCAAGAAATGCAACAGTGTAATCTGGCAACTGATGGGTATAAAGCTCCTCTACTAGTAAGTTTAAATTATTATATGCACTTAACTACATGTGAGTGCAGGTTTTTCTGTTCTTTATGTTCTATTATTACAGTTTTGCTGTTTTGAGAAGTCATCAGCCTTTATAAAAAACTTGTTAACTGTGTAAATTAATATCTAATCTGCATTTGTCTGTTCTCAAGCATGAGGCCTGGTTTTCAGTGGTGACAAAAGCACAAGTGAAAGCATAAGCACGAGTACTGTACTTGTAGAAGAGCCCTTTAATATTCAACCATGAAAACAGGATTGCCACAAGCACACAAACACACAGAGCAATTTTTTTCCTTTCCTACTGCTTGTGCTATGATCGTGTCTATGGGTCATGCTTTTTGAAAAAAATGGAATTAGGTATGAGCACGGGCTATTAAACACTTGTTTCAGCCTCCATCTTAAATCAGGCAAAAAAAAGTTGGAACTTGTGAAACTCTTTTCCTTGTGGTTGTGTCAGTGTTCATATTTTTACAAGACAAAAATCTTTTAAAATGTACTTGCATTTACACTTGCACCTGTGCTTGCATTGCTAGTGTGACTGGATAAGTGGCTTAAAGACAAGTGATTCACTCTCATTTAATGTCTATCACATACATGTAGTAACTTTGAGTATTGCTACTCCTCCTGATTGGGTTGGTAATAACATGCAGGCTACATCCAATATTTCCGTTCATTTGTCCGACACATTTTCCAATCTAGCTTAGTCTCTACTCCATGCAGATGTCACATGTCAAGGACAACTCATTACCCTATGATATGGACTCTTTTTTTAAAAAACACAGTAAAGAGAGGTTTGTTGCTAGTCTTAGTATATTATTTTATTTTTAAATTGCTAATCCTATGATATGCTCTATTTGGAATCAGGCACTTTCAAAGTTGTGTGACATCCGCTTGGGAACAACCTCAGTTCGACCCATCTGTAACTTGGTATGTAACAGTATCAGAAACAGCATTAAAGTCCCACTAAAACAAAATTCTCATATCCTTTTTAAGCGATGACGTATTGTGTGACGTCATCGCTTTATGCTGGTGTGCTTGCATTCCTTTGGATAGTGATTTCACATAGTTTTGTCACGCTTATGTCCGTTGCACCTATGTCGTGCATGATTCATCCCTCTGTGGAAGGGAAATACACTCTGGGAGGTAGTAAATAAGCACTGTATGAGCATTGTATGAGCACTGAGATATCTGAACTAAACTTGTGTGTGGGGCATGCGATAGGCCAAGGGTCTACATTAAATTTATGTATTGGTGAGTGTTGTTCAGGGCTGAACTAAACATATCTGTGGGCTGAAATAGTGGTGAAATTGAACTAGAATTGAAGAAGAGCATTGAAGAAAATGGCTGTGAAAGCTGTTGAGGTAGCAGAAAGCAATGGAGAATAGTGTTATGAAAAGGTGAGCTAGCCAAAAGGTTTTGTCTTTATCAGAACTGGTTAATGTAGCTTAGATTATGGTCTGTGTAATGCAATACAGTGCAGCGGTTGGGTTACACAACATTTACATGAAAGCCAAAGAATACTCAAGTCGTGTAAGAGGGAAGTTCTTGTTTATGCCATTGTTTACATTTTACCTGGAGGTAATACAATGTATCTTTCAACTTTAAAAAAAGTAATTTGCTGAAGAACTAATCCTTTTGCTGTTATGAAAACAGCTTATAACTGTCATGCATGATAAGAGCACAAATTAGGTTTGGCTTGTGAAAAACAACCAGAAGAGTCTAGAAGACGTGATTTAACCACAGGATTTTCAGCTGAGAAACATTCACAATGGAAAACAGGTTATTCTTGTAATAAAACTGAAGGTTTACAGTAGTGATAATGAATTCAAGTTACAATTCATTTGCAGCTTTTAGTTTTTTGTATAGTTTTACAAATGTGGTATTTTAAATTTTCTCTCGACGGAAGAGTGGTGGTGATTAAACAATAGATAATGGTTTTGTCAGTGGTAAATCAGTAGGAAGGTTCATTAAAAACAGGTATAAGGTTAAAACAACAAATTAATTTCCGGTGAGGTAATTAGCGTTGCCAAATGTCTGTCATTTCAAGATAAGGTGTTAATTTCAGAGAGAAACAATGAAAATACTGTTTGTTGTTTTCAAGTTTGCGTATGTTGTTGATGTACTTTAAACAACATGTTGCACTTTATCCAAAGAGATGCAAGGTTATTCATTTCTTTGCAGCTTCTAGGATCAACCGAAAGAGTTTGGTTTTGGGGAACTAGGAACTTATCCTTCGTGGCTGTCTTTTGCAGTTTGTAGGATTCATGGACTGTCTTTAATTTCAGCGTTTAAAGGAGGATTTTTATTGTGGATTGTGCTTCATACAATATCGGATAAATTTGCGTGCACTGGCAAGCTGATAATAAGAACACATCGTCTATACATACAACTTTAGATCTACAAGCAAGTTGCACACGCAATAGGTCAACATTAAATTTACGTATTGGTGAATGCTGTTTAGCCCGGACTTTTTGCTGTCTTGAGATGAATTCAATTGAATGAGCACTGTCAGAGCAGTGTATGAGCACTGAAATATCTGAACTAAAGTTTGTTTCTGTGAACTGAAATAGACTGTATTGGTGAAAGTCTGGATCCACCACTGGATTTCTCTTGGGGACATCTATCACAATATTCTTTTACATTGTTTTATTTCATAAATATTTTTAAGTCTCACTGCCGGTCATTTCGAAAAGTAAACAAAAGGGAGAAAGGTGAATTGCATTATTCAGTTCAAAGAGGAACAATTGAACAAAGGGAACAAGTAAGCTTGCAATGTGAGTGATCACTTGGACTCTCAAAACCCAACTATGCAAAACTACTTACAATACAGCCACTTCCCACACAGGTTGTACCTTACTTTTACTTTTAATTAAGTTTAACCATCAGCCTGTCTGTCTATGTTCCAATTTTCTTGGAACAATTTTAGAAATAGCATGTACACGTCATCACTTGCAGACTGCATGCATTGCATGCTGTTTATTTATTTGCCCAATCTATTCAGTATTGTGCAACAGTAATGCAAGCGAAATGCACGAATTTCATTCTTTGTTCCTGTGATTTTTCGATGAAAGTTTGCTTGAAAGTTCAATTGAAATTTTGCGGCCTGTCAAGCAATAATTCCCTATAACAAAGGGTGATATTTCTTTGAATTTTTGATAAGTGAACGAAAATTTGCAAGCAGTACTGATAATTCACCAGCCTATACACAAAATTTTGCAAGGCACTTAACTGCAGTTCGCCAGCGTTCATGCAATTTTTGCAACTGTTTGCAACTGATTCATGTACTGGTGAAAAAAGTGCCGTGTAACTTACACAAGATAAATTTGGATTCATGTATTGTTTATAAATTCATGCCGGAGAACATGGTGTGCAGTCATCGATCGCCGTATAAAAGGAAAACATACAGTCACATGCCTAAAATTTGCGAAAGGTTTTCGAGCAGGTTTGTTCTCAGGAGTTCAGTTTCATATGCAGAGGATGAATTTGGATTCTTACCATATTATGAAGACAGCAAGCTCAGTTTTTTCCACAAACAAAACAAAAACATTTCCAGTTCTGGGTGTTAAGCTGCTAAAGCAAGCGGCCACAAACAACTTGTGAGAAACATTCAATCAAAACACACCTTTCTTGAGCTGGATACACCATGCGTTTCATTCGACGATTCCCGTGTTTTAGCAAAGTGGCAGCAATATATACTGTTCACCAATACAGCCTAAACTTCATAAACAAGGGTTATCGAAGCCTCCTTTGAACATAACAGTTTTTAGGTTCTTTACTTTCATAGAAAACTAGAATGTTGTCAATTTGAATGCTCACAAAACCATTCAGCTGCTATTTATTCAATCCCAGCCCCCTTGTGGTTATTTGTTATAAAAATACTGGGTGCACTCTGCTCCATTTTCGTTGCCTATGTAGTATTCTTTGGGACTCTAAAACTTACAGGGAAAAACAATTCTGGAAGACCTCCTTCACAGTAGTGCAACCATGATTCATTTCCAGAATTTGTTATGAGTTTGCCTTGCTGGTGGCAAGACCTTCGCATGGCGGACGAACTCACAGTAATTCCACATTTTGCGAACTTCTTCTGGATCTAGCGGCTTTTTATCTCGCTGTTTTGGCACATCTGCTAATCTATAAATGCTTTTGCATCTGTATACAGCTTTACTGGTTTTCTTGATCATGGTATATCTGCCATGGAACCACTAATTCGTAGCTTGAATTCTTCATTAGTCTTTCATTCATAGTGGATGATTCCTGGTCACGAACGGTCGCTATGGCAGCCATTCTTGTCCCCACATCCCATTTTGCTTCTCTGAGCTGGCGGGGCCTTTGCACAAGAATTGAAGGGCTCTGGAGACATAGGATTTCCAACTCCTAGGTTCTAGGACTTTTGGTCTTCATGTATGCAGTCATGATGTTTCTACATACTGTATGGGATTGACAATGGCGGCCATCGAGGCAGGATTTGAGGAATCTTTGTTTCAGACCTTAAATGGTATCAATTTAGAGAATGTTGCTGTCAGTGTAGAACAGGAAGAGGTGATAAGGAACATTGTTGTTTTAAAGAAAGACACTAATTTTTTACCTGCTTTGGCAAGCCATTGATTTTTCAGTTATTACCCCTTGTTTTTGACTCCTGGCATGGATCAACTGAATTGTTTATTTTTGCTGTTTCACCTTTAAATGCGAGATCAGACCATGTAGCAAAACTATTTGCAGGTCAGCTGTCTAATGGTTTGGAATACCGAGTCATTGAACAAGTTTGAAATTAAAGATAATCGAAGTATCCAGTAATTTATGGACACCCTGAGGCATTTGTTGGGAAATCAAGGAAGTTATTGGATTGTGAAGATGTGAGATGCAATATGAGAGCTGTTGTAACTGATGAAGCATATCTCGTTGTAGAATGGCAAGTATTTAATATCTGTCTTTAGTTATTCCCATGTACATGTACTACAGTATGATATAAGGCTTTGTAAGCGAATGACTTGCTCAGCAAATATACTTTGGGGCCAAAGAATGTGACAAATAAAATTTTGTACCTTTTTAGTACAGAGTGCACTATTGGGATGGTTATGGGAGCTGCCTGCCGCTAAGGCACTATGGCGCTATGTGCTAAGTTGCAAGGCACTAAGGTGTAAACTTTAATGTTTGTTTAATTAATTAATTTCTATTAATTAATTAGTCTAGAGGCAAGGAAGTGGCGAGAGTGGGGTGGGAAAGGTACATGTGTACTCTACATAAAACATGTTTCATCGCCATCAGTTCGGTATGAACATCGCAAAGCTATATATTTGTTTCAGGTAACCCCTTGCTCTCCTTGTGGTACCATTGTCTTTCGAACAAAACTAATTTGCTCTAAACGCATGCATAGATTAGTTAGCGTTCATGGCTTCTATATTAGGTGGAGGATACATTGCATGCGGAATCACGCACAAATGTTGAGTGGTTTTCCTTATGGTAGAACTAAACATATAAGACACATGCATTCTAGCATCGTTAGTGTTATACACTATCTTTCCATGCGGTATTTTATATGTGGCTGTGTAGCTTTTAGAATTACACACAGGTCGGTTCAACAAATATCATCTGCTGTTTTCAATCTACAATAGTGTGCTTGTCAGGGTTCAAATGTATTTCTTCTCCTTAGCAGCTTGTTTATTTCTTGCCTTGATTGTGTCTGTAAGAGAGACTAAAAAGTTCCCAAGTTAGTGGCTTTAATACTCTGCAAATTGTAAATTTGTAACAAAAGAAACCAGGAAAGTGCTCAAATATTGCCGCAGGCGCTGTGGCACCTAATGAAAGCGCAAATTAATTTAATCAGTCTTTGAGGAGACTCATTCATATCGGCCAAGTAGCGTTGTTTATCTTCAATACTTTTTGTTGAAATGCTTGTCAGCCATCAATATCGTTGTGTGTTAATTTTGAATTGTTTTATTGTTAACAACAAAGGTGGCAACAGAAAAAGAAAGTGGTATTTCGTGACCATCTGATAATTAAATTAGTTCTTGTTCATTGATAAAAATTTGCATTTTTAGTAAAACAACATCATTTCTGTTCCATTTCTTCATCACTACATCAGATACAGTATTGTGCAAAAGTAATGAGAGCGAAATTCATCGATTTACGTTCTTTGTTCTCACAAATTTTCGTTCGAAATTTTGACCGAACCGATGCATACTCTCAAATGAAAATTTGATGAAAATACGAGAAGGAAAATGAAAATTTGATATAACGATATTTCAAAGGAAAGAAATTTCAATGGAAATTCACCACAACGAAACAAAATATAGACATGTTAAGCAAGGAGAGTCATTAATTATTCAGTTTACGCACGAGCGCGGCAGTAGTTAATGTTCATAACACAGATTGTGGCTCAATAATTTACACATGACATCCTTTTCAAAAGTCCAGACAGAATTCTGTTAGTTTTGAATTTATTTTCTATGGCCTCATTCTTTTTTCTTCAGATGAATGATGAGGGTTTTTCAAATGATTTGCGATGTTCCTTTTGATTTCTGATGTAACATCATGTTGTAGCGTTACCACAATGTTTACACAAAGCCGCTTGCAATTACGATAATGTAAACAACAATGGGAATATGTCTCAACATTTTTTAATTTCACTTGATCAGAACAGACCGCGTTTTGGCTAACATTTGCTTAATACTGTTGGCAGTGGCAAATACATGTAAAGAACTGGTTTTATCTTGGTTTCTTGCATGCAAAATGTTCGTTCAGTGCAAATTGCCCAAAATTGTTGCTTTTCATTCTATAAGCCGTGAAGATCACGGTACTGATCGAATGTCTCGCTGCAGTTTGAATCAATTTTACTTCTATGTGACAAAACACAAGGAATACGCTCCTTAATATTTAATTCTTAGTTTTAATAAACAAACGAGATGCTGAAACAGTTTGCCCAAAAGGTTCTAGTTCAGTTTGTGGTCTGAGGCAGAATGGGTTCATCGCCGATTTCGACCAGTTGCATAAAAACAAATGTTTTCTTTGAATGTCTGGCCTCATTTGGAACCGAGTTTACCTTCATGCGAAGAAATGGTTCCAAGTCTTTAAATTACCTGAAGTTTCATCCGTGCTTATGTAAACAGCTGATTTTTGTTACTATTCTTACTTCTGAGTGAGAAGTAAGCAGCTAGGATAACAAAAGGGGTGGGGAGTGGGAATAGGGGAGAGAATTTTCCATGAAAATCAAAGTCCTGATCCAAAAGAAGTAGTCTTTTATTGGCCATTGACTTTTCTCAGATTTGGTGGCTCCTAAAGGAGCTGTTTTTGTTCTGAAAGCTTATTAAACACTTTCAATACTTGGTTGCACCGCCACGCTCCACAACAACAGCTGGAACAGCCTTCTGAAGGACATGATCGATGTAACGCCCGCACTTGGCTCTATCCATTCTTTTGTTCCAAAACTTTTTAATGCCGGCAATGAGTTCTGTCTTCGTTCGGGGCTTGACTCTTGACTCAAGGTACAACTTCAGTTCATGCCAAACGTCCTCAATTGGATTGAGGTCCGAGCTTTCAGGAGGGGTCTGCCACCAGTTGATGCCATGCTCATCAAAAAAGACCTGGGCACGTCTCGAGGTGTGTTTGGGATCATTGTCCAGCATAAAACGATGGTTTGGGAAAGTCTTGTTGATGAATGGAATCAGAGTGTCCTCAAGAATGTTGCAGTACAGATCGGCCTGCATTATTCCCTCGAAAATACAGATTTTTGTGGCGCCACTCCTGCTGATGCCAGCCCAGACATGAACCGTAAGTGGGTGTTTAGGTTTTGGCTTTCTCTTTGCTGGTTCATCGACCTTTCGATAACACGTGCATCAAAACTGCTGAAGAGAGATGGAGCATTCGTCAGAGAAGATGACATTATTGAATGTATCTCCAGAGTGTAGAACATGCTGGGCAAACTCCAGTCTCTTGACTTTGTTGGCTTCTCTGATCAGTTGGCAGTANTTTTTTTCTTTTTTTAATATATCTTGATATTTTGGGGACCATACAGTTGGCACTAATCGTATGGCCCCCAAAATATAACAGCACACAATAACATGTGCATTAAGGTGTTTCTTGTAACATCCGTTTACAGCATGTTTCAGCAGTTATTCACTTCCACGGGAAGTTAAACTTAGGCACACTTAAGTCATTCCCTGAAGAATTCTCAGATAGAGAAGAAGTGCGTCAGAAATAAATGAAATAGCTTAAAACTACAAGAAGTCTTCCTTTGTGCTGCTTACTAGTCTCGGTTAAAAAAAATGAAAAAAATGAAAAAACTGTGATAACCTTTCAAGCAAATGGGCTTAGAGGGTAGATCATAGAGCATAGAGCGTAAATCACAGAGAGTAGCTGTTAGAACATAGAGAGTAGAGTGCAGCTGGGCTGAGAGGGTAGATGGCAGATGGCAGATCGCAGATTGTAAAGCGAGTAGCTTGTAGAACTTTGAGAGTAGTGTGTAGATGGACTTAGAGGGTAGATTGTAGAGCATAGAGCGCTGATCGAAGAGAGTAGCTGGTAGAACATAGAGAGTAGAATGTAGATGGTAGAACATATAGCGTAGAGCGTAGAGGGTAAACTCAATACAGAATTGTACATTAAAAAGATTATTAAAATACTGTAAACCATAACAACACTAAACATTCCCCATGCGCTTTAATATTTGGTACAATAACTGTGAACCTCTATGTCTGTATATAGAACCATAGAGCATAGAGCGTAATTGGTTGAGGGTAAACTAAATACAGAATTTTAAATTGAAAACAATTAAAACACTGTAAACTGTAATAACACTTTAATAACACTAAATATATATATGAGATATATGGAAGGAATATGCTACAAATTGAAATCAAGTGTTATGAAATAGACAGGTAACCATAGTAACAATACACAACTACGGTAAAAGCTATGAAGTAGGAGCTACTGTTTCTTTCCAACACGTAGGAGGAGACTGGTGTCAAAAGCGTAGTCCTAGAGCTCTATAAAAATTTCTACACCAAATCGAGGTTCATAAAACAGGCACCATTTGGCCTAGATTGGAATGCCTTTCCGGGAAGTTGCCTTCCTTGTGTTGTAGTGTTATATTATGGAACATTGAATGCTTTGGGAGGTCTAGGGAGTCTAGGTCTAGGGAGTCTAGGGACCTAAACTTTCATGATGAATTACAAATCCTTTGCCTCCTGCCAATATGGCAGTGAAAGAGGCATGCCCAGTTCTGTAAAGTTTTTTACATGATTTATCTTCTCACAGATGTGATCTGCTTGTTGTATTTCCACATAGATGGTGACCTTAACTGATCTATGGATACCATCTCCATTATCAAAAGCAGAGGGAAAGGAGATTGAGAAACTGTCTCTTCTTGGACCATTTCTTAGTCTGTCTGTGTTTTCTGAAGATTGTGTAAGTAAATTAATTATGCTGACAAAATTTAAAATAAGCTTTATGTATGTATATGGCTACATGTAAAGTAACACTGCATTTTTGTGTACTATATTGTCAGCCTTACAAAACAGACACATAATAGCATTGGAAGAGCTTTACATGTATATGTATGGTATTGATTAATAGTTACACTAAGTATTCCCAGCCATCCTGCAGTATTTGTTTGTTTTTTACACTATTTGATATTTGATGCATGTTGTACTGGATCAGTACAAAGCAAACCAATGCATTGAACATTTTTAACCACGTAGCCTGGGGCAACAACATGTTTTTAAAATCTAGGAACTTTCACTTTTTTGTGAGATTATGCAATATTATTGCATAATCTCATATAGTCACTGGCCCATCTTGAAGGTTTGAGAATTAGGTCAGTAACCAAGGTTGAGGTGACATATATATTAAGTCCGCTTGCAATCGCATGGTATCTCAAACCCTGTGGTGTCCAGATTGCATCAATCTCATTTGGTTCCATTTCAGCAAGGTTTGTTTTCATTGCAAAAAATTAAACCAAATCCAGACCAGCCACTCAGACAATATATTTGAACATACTTCTAGATAGTCTTAAGTTCTCTTTCCACTACTTTTGAACAAAATTTCTGTGCAAAAGGGTGTCAAGCCAGGGTACCAAATTTGGGGGTACACTCAAAGTCACTCAATTTATTACAAATCCAGTTTTTATTCCTTTGCTCTCCTGCGTTGTACAACTCCTCCCGAATCTTGTGTTCCGTGCAATGTTCTCTTTTTTCTAAAAACTCTAATTACAACTGTTGGTCTGTCGATTAGGAGATGTCACGTCTGGTCACCAATAGTCACACAATTTCTGGTCACCAGAATTGGTTAGCAAAGTCCTTAAAAGTGCTTCCTCTCTCAGCCATTTTTGAAAGTTGCGCAGTTTTGGAATTTGAATCACCTGGTTAGTGGGTTAAATGAATGGACACAAAAGTCACATTTAACTAGAGAATGTTGGTGTGTAAACAAACACCTGAATAACCTTTTATTTATTTTACATGAATGTAATTGATTATGTTGTTGTTCGGGTCCCCTGTGGTCTCAGTTCATTGACAGTAAATTAAAAGTAACAAGCTGAACTTAGCATTGACACAGAGCCTGACTTTGAACTTCGGCAAACGGTTCAACTTCCTCAGATGTCTGTACATTCTGTTGTTCAGCAGTTTGCCATATGTCCTTTCAATTTCGATGACGAACCGCTCCATCAACTAGAGCCTCGTACGATCAGGTAGCAACTTCTCTGAGACACTCAGCTGGTTTCCATGTTCCAGTATGTGAACAGATGTGGATAGTTTCCCCAGCCTTCACAGGGCAAAGGACACACTTGCGAAGATTAAAGTACCTGCACTGATGCTCTTTCCGAGTACACAGTTTAGCAGCGTCGTTGACGAAGCTAAATTCAGGTCCTAGAAGAGATCCAGAAGTTGGCAGTGAAGTCTTACAGCAGCCGCCTGAAAGACGTTGTGCAGGACTCGTATCCATGCCATCACTCAGAGTATTACACCAATCAAGGAGAGCTTGGAATTCACTGACACCAGCAACTCAACACTTCGTGGACAGACTTTTAACAGTATGAACGGCATTCTCAGCCTCGCCATTACTTTGCAGATAATGGGGACTCGAAGTAACATGCTGAAAGTTCCACTTGTCTACGAATTTCACAAACTCAGGCGAGGCAAAGCAAGGCCCATTATCCATGACCAGCGTATCTGGCACTCCAAATTGGCTAAAGGTGGCCATCAGACTTCTGATCACCGACTTGAAGGTTTCAGACGAAAGGAAATCAACCTCTATGAAGTTACTGAAATAGTTGACAACAACCAGCAGAGTTTGGCCTGAGTGAAAACAGATGTCTGCAGCAACCTTGCCCAAGGATGACGTGGAAATTCGTGTTGAAGTAATGGTTCCTGTACTTGTGAGTCATGATGTGTAAGGCAAACATCACACTGACCCTCGAAATCCTTCATTTGGGCACTCATTCTGGGCCAGACCATGCACTTGTGAAGTCAGTGAAGGCGCCCCCCAGGCCATTGTGACTTGAGTGAGCTAGGAACATAAACTCCTTTCTGAGGGTAGTGAGGACAATCAGGTGAGGTCCGTGGAAAACCAGGTTCCCATGAACAATCAGTGCATCACGAAACTGGAAGAAAGGGTGCAAGACTGGATCGCACTCCTGAATGTTGTTAGGCCAACCTTCTAGGATTACTTGTCGGAGATTACATAGTAAATGGTTTGAACCCAGGAGTATCAGTAGTTTGTCTAGTGTGATTGTCCAGGTGAGGGTAGTTCTGAAAAGAACTCTTGTTGGTGACTGATGTTTCGACAACCTGAGCAGAAGTCATCTTCAGAGTCAAGTGAATAGTGTTTGTCAGTTGATGATGTTATAAGTCTGGTCCATTG